TTTAAAGCCTTAAAAGGCCCAAGTTTTTATCCTGGTCTACACTCTTCACAACTTCATTAAACACAAGTTATTAAGTAAGCATATGAGTAAAAAAATAAATCACTTTATTCAACTGTTTATTGAAAATCACAAATACCAATCTGCAATAGAATATTAATGAAATGGCAGTAATTAGTTACTGCATTTTTTCAACATTTTCAGTGGAACACTCCATRGAATTAATGTCTGACACATATTTTAATGTATTATTCAATTCAATTCAATTGAAATTCAAATTCAAAAATATTTTATTGATCCCAGAGGGAAATTAGGTAAATGTGATGTGATTATGATGTCAAGTTTAAAATTATTTACTGTATATTTAAAGCACTCTCACAAGGAAATAGTTAGTGTGGGGTCTTTATTATTAATGCTACATATATTTTTCCATTCATTTACCATTTGTTTCAGATTAGTAAGGAATTAATTAGGAAAAAAATATATGGGTTTATTTTACCTCGATGCGTAGAATAAAATAGAATGTTTGAGTGCGGGGGGAGGAGTGTTGTTCAATGTTTTTATTTGTATTTTTTTAAAGTTACTTTTATGCTTGATAAAAAAGGTTTGAAATGCTTCTTTTAAAAAATTTTGCAACTCTCAGTATTAATGTATGGAAATATTTTTAACTTTTTTTTTCACAAAAGCTCTTACCATCCGTATCAGATTGTATCTATTTTATTTTTACTCTGCTCAGTTTCATAGTTGTGTTATCCAACCATTTTAAAAGAAAGTTTTACTATAAATGCGCATTTCTTTTTTTTAAGATGTAAAATTTTATTTCTGAACAACATAAACAAAAGGTCCTGTTTCTTGTGAACGTGCCATTCATGACCGAAAAGCCTGCGTCTATTCAGACCTTGAAAAGACACGCTCCATATGTTTCTGTGGCGACACTTTGTAGCAGCGATGACATTCTGTGGTCACTGTAAAACAACTTGGCAGCATTTCACATGGATCAGTCGTTGGTTAGTGGAAACAACTGTACACAGCCAAAGTGTGGTTGGAGTTTATGTCTGTATAAATGGACAACTTTGTTGCAGAGTTGAGTGTGAATGCACAAGCATGGGTGGTATATAGGGTGTGAGGACTGAATATCATCCAAAGAATATCACAGCACTAAACTATAGACCATCTGTTGTGTGGTAGGGAGATCTGCTGGAAGGGACTCAGCAATGTTAATGGACCRTTTGTTTGATGCTCAAATAAAACCGACACATTTATGAGATGCAGAATACAAGTTTCTTTAGAGCTACAATAAACTGTGCATAYGTAAACCTTTGAGTGGGCGAATGAAATGCCTTTTTTGTCTTTTTTTTACTCACTAACAAAAAGTGTTATTTAGGCTGCTTATGATGCTTAAAATACACTTAGCTATGACCAACATGAACAACAATGAAGAAGATTAATCCCTTCACTAAACAGTTTACTATGTCTAGCTTAAATCAGTAGATTACAAAAAAAAAAAAAAAAAAAACAGCATTAAATGACCAGCATACTTTGAAGGAA